ATATTCAACCTGATATGTCAATGAATATAATATGGGTATCCTTTAAGGCATTTATTAGAGGATGGTTTATAAACCAAGAGGCTTGGAAAAGAAAACAGAAAAAACAATTATATAGCCAAATAAGTAAACAAATTCAAGAACAAGAGGACAACTTGAAAACATCTAAAAATACAGAAGAAGCGATAACTAATTTAAAGTTACTCCAGCACAAAATGAACTTACTGTTAACACAGGAAATAGCAAGGAATATAGAATATACTAAACTCTACCTTTTTGAACATGCAAACAAACCATCAAGGTGGTTAGCATATAGGCTTAGGAAAGAAAGAGAAAAACTAACAATATTATCACTGAGAGACGATAAAGAGGAGGATAAATATTCAAATCAAGAGTTAAAAGCTATAGTGGGAAATTTTATCAAAAGTTATACAAAGAGATGAAAATCCTGAAGCAATTAAGAAATATTTATTAGAGAGAAACGATGTAAAATTTGACAATAATCAAAAGGATATTTTGAATGAGAAAATTACTATCTGTGAATTGGTGGAGGCAATGAAAAAACAAAAAAACAAAAAAGCGCCAGGACCAGATGGACTGCCAATAGAATTTTATAAAATATCCGAGGAACAGATTATACTCCCATTAAAAGAAGTTATGCAGAAGGTTGGACAATTAGGTAAACTCATGGAATCAAGCAATAATTACATTAATACCAAAACCAGATATGGAGAAAAATCAAGTTAAAAACTATAGACCCATATCCCTGTTAAATACAGATTATAAGACTTTTGCAAACATATTAGCAAATAGATTGAAAAAAGTATTAGTTCAGATGATACATCAAGATCAAACTGGATTTTTGCCAAAAAGGTATATGAAAAATAATATTAGGACAATTATTAATGTGTTAGAATTTTATGAATGCCACCCACAAAAACAGTTAGTGTTAATGTTTTTTGACACGGAAAAAGCATTCAATAACCTATCTTGGGAATTTCTAATACAGAAATTGAATACTTGTGATAGTGGAAGAAACTTTCTGACGATGATAAAAGCTATTTATAAAGAACAATTTTCTCAGATTTTGGTAAATGGAGAGCTGACAATAGAAATTCAGAAAGGAACAAGACAAGGTTGTCCATTGTTATTTATTTTTGCGTTAGAAACATTAAATGAACAAGTGAGGCAGAACCAAGGTATTGAAGGACTCAAAATAAAAGGACAAGAATATAAGCTACAAGCATTTGCAGACAACCTCCTGTTTATCCTGGAAAATCCTAAAAATTCGATTACACAACTATTAAAGGTAATAAATGAGTACGGACAAGCGGCTGGTCTAAAAATTAATTATAAGAAAACTAAGCTGTTGATTAAAAATTGCACTCCAACTATAATTAAAGAAATCCAAGGGATCACGTCAATGGAAGTCGTAAAAAACGTTAAATATCTAGGTATTATTATGACAAATAGAAACAGTAACTTAATAGAAGATAATTATAATAAACTCTTGGAAGAAATAAAGAAAGACCTAACTAAATGGAAGGACATACATCTTTCATTTATGGGTAAGATCGCTACGATAAAAATTAATATTTTGCCCAGATTTTTGTTTTTGGTACAGAATGTCCCAATATTAAAAAGAACGTAATTTTTCATGGACTTGGACAAGATAGTTGGGAAGTTTATTTGGCATTCAAAAAAATCCAGGATAAAACTGAAAACTTTGCAAGACAAAAAGGAAAGAGGAGGCTGCAGTCTGCCTAACTGGAATTTGTATTATCAAGCGGCCAGTCTAGGATGGATTAAAGATTGGATTGAAATAAAAAATAATAGAGTTTTGTCCTGGGAAGGCCATGACTTGAGTATGGGTTGGCATGCGTATACCTGGTACGGTAAAGATAAGATCCACTCCAACTTTAAGAATCATTTATTAAGAGGTGCATTAAGTAATGGAATAAAAGAAAAATTCTATTATAAAACTCCTAAATGGGTTTCTCCTTTGGAAGCTTTTGTTAAATTGACACTTATTACAAAGTTTAATAAAGAATCTTATGAAGTATTGTTAGATAAAGCTAATAAATTAAAAACAGAAGAAACACTCTCTAAGAAATATGATATTAAACTGACCTGGTGGGAAAGTATACAATTAAGAACTATATATAATTGTCAGCAAGCTGCCAAAGAGTTCTGCATCTGTCTGAAGTTCATTCCTTGATTCGCCCCCCCCCCCATGTATGGTTGTATGCAACTGCGCATGTCTATTGTAACTCTAAAGCGCACACTGTCTTGTCTCATGCATTCCTTTCCCTGTACGCTACTGCTGCTTTGAACTATTGTAATCTGCAAGGTCACAGGTGGTGCTTCGCTTAGTCTATAATGAACTGGAGTGTGAGAGAAATATAATTGTTTATCGTTTAGAAAGCCGTTGTTTCTCAGGCTTTGGAAGCGAGTCTGACAGCCTACCCGCGCGAGTGGGAACCAAGACTATTGGTTATAGTTTTTATGAATCTGCTTTATTATACTTTGTTCTGGTAGTTTTGGTTATTCTAAACAATACCCGTGTTCCAGCATCTTCATAGCTTCAATAAATATTACTTTGCTACAAACGTATATTCGATTGATAGCTGTGGATCTGACAATAATAAAGATTTGTTAACTGGTTTTTATGAAGAGAAAAATGGACTGGACAAAATTTGGCTTTCATCAAGTGACAAAATGATTCATAAATTATATAACTTTTTACTAGAAGACTATATGGTAGATGACCTTGTTAGACCCAATATACTAGCCTGGATGAGAGATTTAGGACATGGAATTGAAATGGATGATTGGTTTAAAATTTGGAAAAGAACCAAAAGTATGAGGGCGATCTCATTTAGAGAAAATGTGTTTAAAATACTGCATAGGTGGTACTGGCCCCCTGAAATAATTGCACAATGCTTCCCAAATTGTTCAAGTAATTGTTGGAAATCTAGAAATAACGTTGGCTCCTTTTTTCATATGGGGTGGAGATGCGGTAAAATTCAAAAATACTGGAAGAAAATCCAGAAAATAATAAGAGAGGTATTGCAAGTAGAGCTGCCACTTAATCTGGAAATTTATGTGTTAAACATGGTCCCAAATGAGTGTGACTATAATGAAACATACGTGATAATACATATTCTGACAGCAGCAAGGATCCTTTGGGCCAAATATTGGAAATCGGACAAAATACCCCATAGGGACGAATTAATATATAAAATACTGGAAGTAGCTGAAATTGATAAATTGAATGTAATATTATGCGGGAAAGATGAGAGTGTATTTGAAAAAAGGTGGTCGGGAATGTATGAGTGGTTAGAGAAAGAGCGAAAAAAACCCAGACTTTAAAGCATATTTAAAATTTTGTATATGTTTATTTTCTTGTGAAATAAATAAATAAATAAATAATATAACAGTAGACTTATACAATTGTGCCTCACTTCTACATTAAGTAGGATAATGGATTGTAAATGTATAAACCCATAAATAAAAAGTTTTAAGAAATGAGTAAATAGTCAAGAGTGAGAGTCAATTAAGTAATCATTATATCATCAAACTTTTAAACTTTGTATTTGTAACATTGTTAATTTATATTGTCATTGATGGTGAGTGATTTCAAAATTTAAAAATATGATCTAACATTGTATTGTATTGTAAATTTCCCTTTTTGAAATAAAAATTATCTTACTAAATAGTAAAAAACCCCAACAACACTCCAAATAAGTGATCCGCTGACTTCCCAGTTGACAAGTCATTTCCAGCCTTCTTTCTTGTTAACTGGGAAGGCATCAGATTGCTTATTTGGCAGTAATGATCACTTGTCCTACAGTGGTGGGACTGTTGAATTGCTTCTTCTATAGCAGCAAGCTCTGAAATAAAATATTACCTTGAATTACATTTATACAGGAGCTAGCTATTTAGATAGGACTGTTCCCTTCATATTTTTTGTTACTTTGATTCTGTATTTGATTGCTTATATATGAATTTGAATGAATTTTGTAAATACCTATAAGGTGATTATACTTGTTTACTATATTGCACACAATATATATTTTCATTAAATATTGCATATTTTGTATGTTTATACACAGTGCTTTCTATTATTTTGTACTTAGTCCATCATGGTTCCTGTTTTGTTGATGTATGTATTATGACAGCCAGTTTGGTGTAGTGGTTAAGAGTAGTGGACTCTAATCTGGAGAACCGGGTTCGAATCCCATTCTTCCACATGAAGCCAGCTGGGTGACCTTGGGTCAGTTGCAGCTCTTTCAGAACTCTCTCAGCCCCCCAAATAAGTCTAGCTCACCGCAAAAGAGCTAGAACTTAAGGCTACCTGGCAATCTTTGGATCTCCTGGCTATACTACACATAATGCCATACAGTAATTATTAATTATTATTGTATGTGTTGTCGTAATCTCATTTCATTGTTTTATACTTACGTAACACCTCTTCTGTGTTGTTTAACATTCCATGTCTAATCATCAGTGCTTTGTTTCAGATTATTGTAACCCTAGTTCTATGGCATCGCTTATCAGATGTCTCATCCTATTCTATGCATTGTTTTACACTGTGTCAGTGAGAAAGGTGGGCTATAAATAAAAAAGGAAAATAAGAATGACCTTTCTTTTATTTTTTTCATTAGCAGAATATCAGACTCATACCAAGAGAACAACATCAGCCAGAAGTCACAAAAGAAGCAAATTTATTCACAGACCATTTCATAGCAGACAGGTCTATCATTGCACTTGGCCATAACAGCAAAATGAAATCTCCAGATAAAGAGGCCTTTGAACTTCAGATATTTTTGGATCAATAACAAAGGACTGCTATCCCCACCGTGTTCCATGTTTGTGTGTCCCCAAAAGCATCTGGTTGGACACTGCTGGAAACCAAGCTGAACTAGATAAGCCTTGATCTGATCCAGGAAAGCAGTTCTCAAGTTTTTTTTTTAATTAATAACACCAGTCACAGTACTGTTCTACAGACTTCTTAGATGCCCCGACCAGTCTCTAAAGACCTCTTTGACTTTCTCATTTCTCAAGGTAAAAATAAATGGATTTAGAAATGGGGTCACTATAGAGGTCAACAGAGCTACCATTTTGTTTAGGTCTGTGGAGTAGTTTTTGTTGGGCCTCACGTAGACGAAAATGGTGGTGCCATACCCAATGATGACCACAGTGAAGTGTGAGGCACAGGTGGAGAAGGCCTTTTGGCGGCCTGTAGCTGAAGGGATCCTCATGATGGTGACGATGATGGCAACGTAGGAGGCCACTGTCACTGTGAAAGAGCTTAAGTCAAAGAGAACGGCAAGAAGGAAATCCCAGAGCTCAATGAGGCGGGTGTCTGAACAGGAAAGCTTGAGCAAAGGTGCATTGTCACAGAAGAAATGGTCAATCTGGTTGGACCGGCAAAAGGACAACCTAGCCCTGAGAGCAGCTGGTGGGATCATGGAAAAGAAGGAGGTTGCCCATGAGCCAAAAGCCAATTGGATGCAGACATGGTTGGTCAGGATGGTTGAGTAGCGGAGGGGGTGGCATATAGCCACGTAGCGGTCGATTGACATTACAGCTATGAGGAGGAACACTGTGGTCCCCAAGGAAAAGTAGAAGTAAAACTGAGCCAAGCATTCCCCAAAGGGGATGGTATCCCTTTCAGCCATTAAGCCCACCAGCATTCTGGGGACCACTGTAGACGTGACCAGCATCTCTGCCACACAGAAATTACACAGGAAAAAGTACATGGGGGTGTGAAGCCGGGAATCAAAACTGATCATCGTCACAATAGAAGCATTCCCAGCGATCATCAGTAGGTAGAGTGCTAGACATGGTGCGAATAGGACTTTCTGTAACTCCCTCGTCATTGAGAAGCCCGTCAGGATGAATTCTGCCAGTTGTGTGTCGTTTCCCATCACCCAGCTTCTCTCTGAAGGACAAGGTAAGCGCATTAGTCTCTACAGGACTGGGAAACGATGATGTCTTAAGCAAGTGACTGAGACCGATCTAGTGTGCTTAGGTAGTATTGCAACCCTGTAAGATATATCAGCAGAATAAACAAAGGGGCAAAGAAGACCATAAATACATAAGCAAGAAAGGAGGAAAGAATGAGAAGAAATCCTAGAAACAAACAAACAAAACATGGTGTATTAATTCATAGGGAAGAATAGTGTGTTTAGGCAGTATGCTCTCCAAACCATTTCGTCCTCCCTCCTCCTCTGCCCATGAGGTGGCTGGGCAGTCCGGAATGGGGGGGGGATTATTTAGTTCGCCATCTGGAGTTCTAATCTATCTATTGGTATTAACACCTTATGTTTTATAGTGATGTTTTTAGTCACTGTTGTATATCACCCAGAGCTCTATGGTAGCAGGGATGGGAGGATTCAGAATTATTATTATTATTATTATTATTATTATTATTATTATAGATTGGATTTATACCCCACCCTTCACTTGGAGTCTCAGAGCGGCTTACAAACCCCTTTCCCTCCCCCTCCCCACAACAGACACCCTGTGAGGTGGGTGGGGCTGAGAGAACTCTGACACAAACTGCTCTTTTTCAAGGATAGCTGTGCCAGAGCTTGTGACTGACCCAAGATCACATCAGCAGGTGCAAGTGGAGGAGTGGGGAATCAAACCCAGTTCTCCCAGATTAGAGTCTGCGCACTTAACCGCTACACCAATATTGAAACCATATAAAATATATTGGCAGAAAGAACGAAAAGGCAAAGGAGATCACAAAAACACAAGCAAAAAAGGACAGAATGAGAACAAAACCTAGAAACTAAAAAAATATGGTTTATTAATTCATAGGCAAGAATAGCAAAGCTGAATATGTAAAAAGAAATGTGCAGAACCCTTTATCCTTATGTCCCAGTGGAATTAAATTTTACCTTTATAGATTGTCCTCCCCATCCCACATGCATATGCTGCTTATTTTTCTTCCCTGTGAATGAGTGATGTTTGGGGGATCTGTGGTTTAAAACCCGACTCCCTCTGCTGACGAAGTACTGGCACAATGCTGTGGTATTTCTGTCAGCATACTCCTTTAAAGCGACATGATGATGAGAGAAATCATTAAACGGTATCCGAAGAAGAATTATTGCGTGTGTGTCAAGTGCTGTCAAGTCACAGACGACTTAGGGCGATCCCACCAAGGGGCTTTCAAGGCAAGTGAGAAGCAGAGGTGGTTGGCCGTTGCAGAGTCTTCCATGGAGGTCTTCCTACTGACCCTGCTTCGCTTCTGAGATCTGACGAGATTGGGCCATGCCATGCTGCCTTCCCTCCCTGAAGAATTCTTAGAAGTGTAATATTCTAGATGAGTCTCCCTGGAAGACCCCAATGAGATCAGGAAGGGTTTCCCTCAACAAATAAGCAAGCTGAAAAAAAATCCAAGTTGGGGGGAAGGGTGACTGCAAGCTCTGCTTGTCCATTTGTGGCCGCTAAGAGGCCGTTATGCAGAGGCAGGCGATGGCAAACCTCCTCTGTTTGTCTCTTGCCTTGAAAATGAGACAGAGTCCCTATCAATCGGCTGTGACTTGTTGGCATTTCATGCACAAACAAAATCTCAAGCAACTATGGCCTGTGCTTCTTTCCCATTTGTGGTCATGTCTGTAGTCATCGCCATGTGGGCAGGGATGGGAAAGGGTTCTGAAATATGGGTGGCTGTTTCCCAGGACTGTACCATCCTACCTTTCCCCCTTTTTACTTTTAGCTGATTTTGAAACAAACACTCATCAAAGTTTATTGGTGTGTATAGTGGTGGTGCATTTTCACCGAACTGGCGTTATTCTGGAAATCATAGCAAAAACCACTCCTGAGATGAGAATAATACCCCTCTCTACAGAAAACATGCAAGGATAAAGTACCCGTATAAGGAGAAGAAGATATTTCTTTTTTAAATACTGTGTCTAATCATTAGGTGTCTCCTGCGGCCAGATCATAGCTCCTCAAATTCAGAAAAATTAGGAAGGATTCAGAGAGGAACAGCATGGAAAGATCAGCTGAGGCAAAGGTGAACGGGCCGGATATCTTAAGAACATAATGTAAGAACATAAGACATAAGAGAAGCCAATGCTGGATCAGGGCAATGGCCCATCCAGTCCAACACTCTGTCACACAGTGGCCAGAAATACCAGGTGCCATCGGGGGAGGTCCATCAGTGGTTAGTCTTGTGAGCAAAAATTCTACTTGGTGAGCGACTAGCATGAAAGTTGTGAGCGAGTGATTTGGCTACTGCATAAATTAGTTTGCTCTGGAGCCATCCCCTTCCTGAGCTAAGACAAAGATGGGTGAGCTGGAGGCGAAAAAACTGTGAGCTGGCTCGCGCTGACTCAGCTTAAAGGGAACACTGGGTTAGTCTACAGATTATTCTGAGATTATTCAAAATATTAAAAGGGATGTGAGAGTAGAAAAGGGAAACAAGCGTGCCTTTCATCCCACAACTGGTTAGCAAAGGAAATTATACATTTAAGCGTTAGGAAGGTAGTTTTAGTTTAATCATGAAAGGAAACTAGAACAGAGGCTCAGAGAAGGAACAAAAGTTCCAAAGAGTTTAAAGAGCCTTCTTCGCTGAAGGTTCTTATTGAAAGGTATGACAGGCACCTGCTGTTTTTAGTGGACAGCAGGCAAATGTTCGGATATTTTTGTAGCACTCTGTTCTCCTAAATGTGGTCCAGGGGCCAATTAAACCAACCTGCACATTGGGTTGCCTGTCTATGTAATAAAGTCATCTGAGGAGCTATTGAGAGTGGAACCTGCATTACATACAAAACCCAAATGCGGTTTGCAGTGTTCAAGTGGTTCACCTGTCGTAATTTTGAAAGCAGTGATCTTTTCCTTTCAAATGAAAATACGGACCACATTTTTTTAAAAAAACCTCAGCTCAATTCAAATTTGGCTGGACCCGAGAAGGCCAGACAAAATTCTGCGGGGTCCGGGTTAAGCCTCCCATGTGGTCATGCCTCCCTTTGCCCCAGAATTCCTTGCATTGAGGCTGACCGAGGGACCAGATGGCTCACAGGATAACTTCCTCTGTACTAATTCTATAGCAGGAGAGTTTTACATCATTACTTACAATGTGTTGAGTCTTCAGAAAGCAGGCCAGATCAGAAGGTGAAGTGGTGCTTCCACTGCCAGAGAAATATGGTGTGGGCTCAAACAGAGAAAGAGCGTTTTCTGCCCATTTAATCTTCTCAGCGCTTCATTTTTTAATTCTCTTGTATCGGCTCTGAAATAGGATAAAAAAACAGACACACATTCAGGAAAAGCCTCTCCATTCTATTCCAGAGCCTGCACTTCAAGAGACATTCTGCAGCTAGTGTGTTTTATCCAGGTTCAAAGTAGTGTATATGAGCAGGAACCTTTATAAGACAATCTGCTTTACCCACACAGGAGACTGAGGAGCTGAAAGACTGGGGAGGGGGGGTCCTTTGTGAGACACAGATGCACAGACAGTCACACTGTCAGCTTGCCGTCTATTTTTAGCAGGAGAAGTTGCCTCTAGGGACAAAAGTCTATTGGATTCTCTGGCTCTGTCCAGGTTTGTTCCTGAGTATGCAGGGACCAAGAGCATGCTAGGTATTATTTGCTCTCTGTGGTCTACATTATTCTTATTGCCCTGACCTGGATAGCTCAGGCTAGCCCAATCTTGTCAGATCTCGGAAGCTGAACAGGGTCACCCTTGGCTAGTATTTGGAAGGGTGACCTCCAAGGAATACCAGGGACATGACACAGAGGCAGGCAATGGCAAATCACCTCTGAAATGTCTCTTGCCTTAAAAACAAGTCTAGCTCGCCACCTAGTGGTGCATAATGCTAAAAGAGCTAGAACTTCTAGCTGCCAGACAATCCTGGCTATTACACACAATGCCATACGATGATAATGATGATGATGATGATGACAATGATGACAATGATAATAATAATAATAATAATCACCACCACCACCATCATCACCATCACCATCTAGGAGGAAAAGTGACATATCCTGCCTTATACCTGCTCTTTAGTTACAAGTGACCACTGTAGCCCTCCATACCCCCTCCAAAATTCACTTGGATAAGGTCCCAAACCCAGCATCTGTCCCTGGGAGAAAGGGCCTGGGGTCCTCAATACAGTCCTGTAGGGAGGATGACTCAGTGGTGGAACATGTACTTTGCAGGCATTCTGGGGTTTTTCTAAAGGAATGCTTGAAACCAGGGCTTTTTTGGTAGAAAAAGCCCAGCAGGAACTCATTAGCATAATAGGCCACCCCCAACAGCAGGAATTCATTAGCATAATAGGCCACACCCCTGACAGCACAGCTCATTAGCATACTAGGCCACACCCCCATGCCTTCTCTTGGCTTGCCTGGGCACCCTCCCCGATCCTTCCAGGCCCCCCTAGCCCGCCCGCCTCGGAGTCGCTGGGGGGGTCGCTCTCCAGGCCTTCCCTCTGTAGCCACACACACAGAGGTTTTGGCTGTAGTGGGTGTGGCCAACTCTGAAGCCAGCCGGAACTCCGTTCCTGTGCGTTCCTGCCCAAAAATAGCCCTGCTTGAAACTGCATAGTGGTATACGATTGCTGTGACCTGGATAGCCCAGGGCCCCAGGCTAGCCCGATCTCCTAAGATCTCAGAAGCTAAGCAGGGTCAGCTCTGGTTAGTACTTGAATGGGGGGACACCAAGGAATTCCAGGTGTTCTAAACAGAGGCAGGCAATGGCAAAGCACCTTTGAACGTCTCTTGTCTTGAAAGCCCAATGGGATCACCATACGTCAGCTGTGACTTGACAGCACTGCACACACACACACACACACACACACACACGCACGTGTGATTGTCATTCAGAAGCATAGCACACACTGCTACAAAACACCTTGTGCGTGCTTGCATCCACTTGAATGCTTTGTTGCTGAATGCAATGTTCCATGACATCAAGAAGCCTACATGAGAGTGGGAGAAAATCCTCAGGAAAAAAGCACTACTGCATAATGTTATATTAAAGCTTCACACAAGCAGCATTGTGAATGCCAACTAAATTGTATTTGGCATGAGGGATATTAAAAAGCAAGAACATGGGGAGGAGGAAGGAGGGGGGAGAGAGGGATGCATAAACCCCATGAAACAGGTCTGCAGGTCTCAGCTCACATCATCTTTACCAGAGACTACATAAGACCCTCCTGGACCACTCAAGAAGTCAGCTCTTCAAGATATTGTAATCCTTCTACCAAGTATTCCATATACTTCAACAAAGATAGGAAAATGGTAATACCTTGAGCATGTGGAAAGTTAACATAACACAACTTTACCATGGGGACTCTCCCCTTTGAGGGGACACATGGTGTTTCCTGGTCCAAAGTGCAGTTCCCCTGGAGAAAATGGCTGCTTTGCAAGGTGGACTCTATGGCATTGTATCCTATTTAAGTCCCTCCCCTCCCCAAACCCTGCCTTCCTCAGGCTCCACCCCCAAAACCTACCATTGATACATCATTTTTTAAAAAATAATCTCTAAGATTAGAGCTCAGCATCAATATAGAGCCTTCATCCACATTGTATAGAAATTTTGCTTTCTGCTTTCTATAATCCATGCCTTCTCCTGTGACTACATTCTGATAACATGCTGTGCCTTGTTTCCTCTTGCAAGCCAAATGGTGGACCCAGATGGCCTCAATAGCCATGCCATAAACCCATATTCTTTCACACTTTCATGCCAAAAGCCAGACCTCATGGCTACACTTTCTGGCCCACATGCAACAAGTCACGTACTCAATGAAGTACCTGGAAACTAGGTCAATTGCTTGCAGGGGTGGCTTCCAAATATCTAGCCTATCCCCACACGCAGCTATGACAACCAACAATTGGGCCCATCCCATGCCCACTCACAATTGGCTGATGGCCACAGCTGATTTGTGACTGGAATTGGACTATAATAGTTTGACCCCTATGGGAGGGAGCCCTGCTCTTGCTCTCCTCTCTTGTCACTGTCTGTGTTATGGCACCTGGAAATGCTGTCTCTTGGGAGACAACTGCTTTGAGAACTTGGAGCACATGAGTGTGCAACCATGGGGTTCCTACTCAAAATCCCTTGGTGCCTAATTGGACTGTATACCTTGGACACTCTTTGACTATGGACACTTCACTGGTAAATATGTATCTTTTAATGTGTAGTTAAGGCAAACAGCCCTAGCCTTTATTATTTTGTAATCTCTGGTAGTCTATGCTAAATTCTGTACTGAATAAAAATTATTCTTATTTCTAAATGGTCTCTGATGTTGTACCTGAGTTCCAAGTCTGAATCTTGTGCCTTCTGCTCACCAAATAAGCTACCTTTGTAAGATTAAGTGTGCATCTCTGGGAATGAGTTGCTAATGTGTTAAATTCCAGATGCCAACTGAGAGTTTGAACCTCTAATCTCAGGTTGGGGGGAACTACTGTAGAGGTTCTGGTGGCAAGTTGTTCTGAAAACCAGAGAGAGTATAGCATACCTCTTGGGTTGTTGTGTAATGTACTGAAAAAGTACAGGATTCCCTCTCATCCCTGGACTGGCCTGAGGGGCTTAATCCTGTACACACATATATTCCCATTGTTCCATTTGTAGATTATAACCAAATTTCCGGCCCATTTTATCATAGATTCTGTCACTTGTTCATACTCTTTCTCAGATTTCAACAAGAGTTTATACATTTTAGCAATAAAAAGTTCATCATTTGTAATTCTGTTTCAAATTCAGTTTTAGATTGTTCAGAACCATGTGATCTTTTATCCACTTTTAACCTTTCTAGTAATTGTGCATTTTTTAAAAATGGCAAGTATATCCTTCTCTTATCAAATATACTCTTAATTTCATTTTACAATCCCTTTGAGAAAAATCTAATATGTCACAATATGTTCTGGGTTGCAGTCACTTCACTTTATCTCCTGTTGCGAGGACAAGCATTCCATAGGGGACTGAGGTACCTCCTGAGTTGCAGAGGCTCTTTGAGGAATTGTTGTCTCCATCAACCGCTCCACCATGGGACCCTGGTGTGGCATTTTCAGGCTCTCACATTTTGTCACCAAGGGCCTTACCACCAAGTTCTCAAAAACACTCACAGGGTATATTCCCCAGGCGTTGAATCTGTTTTTCTTCCTTTGTATTAGGGCAGGGATTCTTGGGGACTCAAAAATGAGTAGAACCTTTTGCATCTGATCAGATGAATTAAGTTGAGAAACCTGAGCAAGGTCAATTGCAGACTTGTCCTTCCCCAGTAGCCTTGACAGATGCACCACAATCCCACTCCGACCAACCCATCTCGGGGCACAATCTGTTAACCATTTATGCTTAGGTATCATTTCTCCTCTATAGAAGGCTTCCTGGGTAGATAGCCACAAGCTGACCCCTGTCCTCCTGCTACTGCTCCCCCATCTGCCATGCTGCCCAGAGATTGGTCCCTGTTACCCAGATGCTGATGTCACAATGCCAGCATCACAATGCCTCAAGGAGATAGAAATGTATAAATATGCTTGAGCCTCAGCAGTTGGATTCACAGCTGTAAACTGATAGGTTCAGGCTGAATTTCTCTTGACAGCCTGAAAAAGGCCTGCCATTGGGCTAATGGTAAGTTATCAAGAGGGCCAATGACTAATTTTAAAGTGGAAGTTGGCGGGGAGAAGGTTGGCTGGCAGGACGTAGGAGGATGGCGAAGCAGGAGGCGGGCAGGAGGCCGCTGAAGACAGTTTTACTAAAGACTGCATTTGACTGGTTTAGTTTCGAATGATTGACTGTCCAAGTTGGAGTTTTTCATTGTGACTTTTAATGAATTTTTATAATTGTTTTATTTGAATTGCTTCAAAGGCTCCAGAAACAACAAGACTGGCGAAGTTCGTGCTGAAGATGCAGTGATCTGGAGTTTCCCAGTCCATCCCCTCCACAGCTCACTGGAACCCCCTCCTCCACTAACCCTCCTCCACTAACTCTATCTCTGTTCCCCCTCTTTTGCCACTGTCTTCTAACCTGTTACCTCCACTGTGTCTTCTAACCCATTACCTCCAACATCCCCACTGCTTGTTGTTTCCTTTCTCCCACCACCCTTACGACTCTTCTTTCCCTTTCCTCCTCTACCTTCACCATCCCCTCTTCCCTTCCTTTTTCCACCCATCATCCCTGCTTC